AATATAAAAAAGGTAGGAGTGTTTTATTTTAATTATCTCAGTTTTTGACAATTATTCCAGTAGTCTTTAGAGGTTTGTTACCACATAAATCGCTGTTGCTGATTGGGTTCGTGTTCCCCTATAAACGGCTTGTTTAAAAACAAATGAATCGTAACAACATTGACGATTAAATACAAAACTAACTCTAAAAGTAATGTCACACGCGGACTGCTTACTGGAACATGAATACGATACATTATATATGGCAAAATGAAATATCTAAATTCGAGCAATTTCTGAGGCACTAGAACTGCACTTACACAGATCCARTAGACTAACTGCCATAATGCTGATTGTTGTAKAGAAAGCTTATGCCTTATCAACCARCCAATCACTAGGTAGCATGGCACCAGTAAATACCTCACTGACCAATGACGAGCGAACAATTTACGCCAGACGTAGAAAGGGTAGTGCCTATTGTCAGCCAGAAGATACTTGTGAACATAGGTGAATTTGTACACTGCAAGTTCTGATATGAACAGTGTTAATATAAAACCACAGAAAAACATCTTATTTCGTACATTCTTGAGAAGTTGAGGAATTCCGTCGATGAGCAAAGGCCAGGAAAAAGCAGCAGTGAAAGCGATAAAGTAAAACAACTGAGGTATGTTCAAGCAGGCAGTATGGCTGCTTCTGTCGCCGACGACAACACCACCGTTAATAACCACAAACACTGCAAAACCTAGAGCTACAGCTCCATAGCCAAAAAGAACTTTAAACATGACGATAAAGTTGACAAGAAAAGCCTTTACGAAAGACAGGATTTCTGAGAGTGTCCCAGAGGTTTGTTTCGGCATCAGCGGTTGTAAATGTCGTACACTGGTTGTCCCGGCAACAAAGACCAGCCATACAACATTGGTTTGCCTGAATATGATAGCAACTACTCCAGCGAGGGATGCCGGGATGTGCTGTTCAGTGAGACTCAAGTAATACATCAATAAGACAAAGAAMGTTGACCCAGCATCAGTGTAGAACAGGAAGGTGAAGAAGTATAATAATGGGAACGTACACAACGACAAAGCTGTCAGCTTTATTTTAGTGCTGTCGGGGGTCTTGGATTCCTGTMAACGAAAACAAGACGTTAACAAATCGACAATTTATAGTAAAACAAAAGAAACTGAAAGCGGCATAGTATATCATACTGGCTTTNCAGGCAAAAATTACTGGGACAAATATATCTGTTTTTATGTCCCAGCTGTAAGTCACAACTGGTTGCCAGCGAGAAATTCAGGAAAAAGAACTTTCCAGGAAAGGAATACCTTCTAAGAATTTTTACCATGGAAATACAAATTTCCCAACTAAAAAATATAAGCTGTTTTTGACCTTAAAAGCATTATATAACCCTTTTTGACATTAAAAGCGTTTGCCAGGAACAAAATTATTTTAAAGAAGGAATACCGCAACATTTGCTTGTGAGATTGTCAACAATGTAGCTCAAAATCCCTTTCCCAGGAAAAAAATTGGTACAAGAACAGTTATTTAGAAGAACAGACCCTGTCGGCTCCTCCTGTGTAGGGAAAAAGATAATATAATATCCATCAACAACTCCAAGTTTGCARATACTATGACCAATGAGTTACCATGGCTTCAATGATGTCACATGACCAACATTGCATGTTATTAAGTATAATGCTCACTTCAACCATTATGGTGGGTATRATATAAGGTATGTTAATACTACGGCACAATGGAATTCCTATGAATAACATTGTGGGTCTACAATCACAAAGAAAATAAGTCTGTAAACTGCTGCGATGAAGAGATTGGATGAACATAATASAAGAACAGACAACTCACTGACAGTTTGTATGCTTGGCCTATATAAGCTATACTTTTATCACTAAAATGTACATCAATTCATCATTTCTTTATCACAACCATCTAATTACTAATACTGTCACAGCATACACTAGTAACATCAGTCTGTAGCAAACTATTACAGTATTAGGTAATGATTTTCACAATATAGTTCCTAAAATCGAATTAAACAAAGCAGTACTACAATAATGTCCCAGGACTTTCTTTCCGTATAGTTTGCTGGTGAAATTATTCATTGTCTACAAGATCTCAATGTTGTGTATTTTTAGTAAACAAAGTTACATGTTTCATATGTTGGAGCCATGCTGTKCTTAATCTACTTGCTATTCTCATTGAATCTCTGCTTTTTTATAGCAGATTAATTAATTCTTAGAATGTAAACACATTATGGTCATCCAGACTCAAAAACACAGCTAGTAATCCTTGGCTGAGAAAGCTGATGATTTTAACTGATAATTAAAGGTCAAATGATTAATTTAAAAAAAACCTTTGGAGGTAAAGCAGCTAACATAGAAAGTAAACACAGCTCAATGTAGGGATTAATTAAACTGTTTACAACACTGTGAACAAAAGGCCATTTTAATGTATACTTCAGTAAGTACTTTATCTGTTCTAAAGTTTGCCAATTCAATCACAGCCCTCAAATATCTGTTAAAGTACATTTGAAAGTTAATGGATCAATATTTGAAAAGTGTTATCGAATATATTTAGGGCGTTTTCTTAAGGTGTCTAGCCTTGAGGTAAATAGTGTTATCTGGACATCAGCAGCCACTGAACGAGCAAATCAATGATAATATCATTCAACAATGCCCCACAGACAACGTATCAAGTTTCTGGCTTGAAATACCTTGCGTGCTCTTTTGCTCCATCGGCCTCTTCGTAGGACGTGCACAACACACGTAAGTARCTGAGTTTTACAATGAAATATCTCTCAAAACAAGCTCCCACCGCTATAATTAGTACGATTACTTAGAATGATAAAAAATATCAACAGTTTTTGATGAAATCCTGAGGTGATTAGTCAWGGTACGATAGCGTGATCTCGGCCAGAGTAAATCTCTCAATTATCAATAAGTGTTTGGAGAGTGATTCGACATGTTGCCAAAATCTGTTTGACTGAGACAATAATAACTCCATTTTCTTGCTTKAAACAACAGGGAAACCTCCTCATAATTACTTGTAGTATTTTATAAACACRAAAGTTAAAGCCCGGGGATTTAGAAGGATTTAATATTTTRAYTTAATTTAAGCTTTTAGCTGAYGTTACCTYGTTTGATGATGGTGTATGTTGATAGRAGTGAACACGTCTTAATATTCGCAGCAAAATGATTGCGTTTCCAACCATGAATAGTACATTAATAGATCTAAGCCACCATACAGAACACAGTGAATCAATATTAGTCAGAGACACWGCAGAYATCAMACGAATCAAGGCAAACGAGAAGAGATAGAGTCCTGGGAGAGTTGTAATCATCGGATCCCATTCATCAAATCTATACGAGCAGTATTTTTGCGCTTGTGGGATGTGGAATATTTCATCTAAGTATGGGAGAGGCTCTGCACTCTGGAAAAGGTGAAGAATTCCAACAGAAATTGCAAACAAAGCAACGACAATCGAACTGAACCCTTTGTCMGCCATATTGGATTTTACATAATAGTAMCCAGTCTTACTCGGTTTAATTGTWRGGGGAGAGGATGGATAAGACTGATTGCAAGATACTTTCGGCTACTTTCGTAATTATCTCGTCAATAGGTTTTGGATAAAATTCAGTATGCAGCAGTATGATTTGAAGTAGACGTTTTCTGTGTATCGTAACTGTGATATTTTTTAAGACGTCCTGGCACAATCGAAAAAAGAATACTGTAGTTTGAATAACATTGTGAGTTTTTCGTTATTGTATTTTTGTTTTGCTTGCATGTTTGATGTTGTTGTTGTTCTTATTTGTTAACGTTGTTGTTGTTGTTGTTGTTGTTGTTTTTGTGAAGTTGTTTTTTTTCATGATATTTTATCGACTACGTGTTTGAAAGTTTCGTGTTTACGTGTCCCGTAAGACTCACGCAAAAGTCACGTGCGTTTTGCGTTCGTGCAATATATAGATCAAGTCATGAAAAACCCTTAGACTTGTTCGTAACACAAAGCAGTCAAACACGTAAGTAAGTAGAGTGTGCTTTCTTTAGTTTTCTGACGCTATATCTACTGTCTTATCATGCCGCTTCCATTCAGTCTACAGAGTAAAATGAGCACCAAGAATACGTAGTAATACTCCAGTTTCGAATTCTCCAATGCTCAGTGTTAGCCTTATTTGTGCGCAAAATATTCGGCTCATTATTGTGAGCGTAAAAGTGTGAGATTTCAAATCAAATTTATTGTCTTTCTTCACAAAATTCCATGCGTTTTCTCGAGCTATAAATGAAACCAAAGAATATGTTATTTGGTTTTGAGGCTAACACAGAGCAAACCAGAACTCGAAATTGGAGTATTGATTAATCGAGATTCCTAGATGAAACTGTTAGTAATTACTCTKTCTCGATTTGAAGATTCTTAGGGATCATTTTTATACTAGATATAGCTAATTTTTACATTTGATATTTTTTCGATAAGTTTCATTTAGTCCATATTTTCCTCCCGACTTCTAAAGGGTATTCGAAATGCATCTTTTTTCCAGAGACCTTCACTTCTCGCAATGGCTGACTCGACTGACATTGTGAACCATTTGTCTGACGGACATTGGGAAATGAAAAAAGGTTGTGAMAACAAAGATGGTAAGAATCAGTTGCTAAGGATACCTGACATAAGGCCCGTTTACACTTGCGATTTTTGAAGCGTGATTGCCGCGGCGATGTCGCGCGACCATCGCCTGAGTTTCGAATATGCTTGAAATTTAGCTGACTTCGCGGTGATTTTCGATCGCTGCAACAATCACAGGGCTGTTTTACACGTACGATTTAAGGTGCGTGATAGCAAAGTGGCGATTGTCGCGCGAGAATCATTAGGTCTGTCAAATACGCCAGTTTTAGCTCATTACAAAAGGGTACAGAATGAGAAGGAACAAAAGATTGGAATATAATATAGGAGCGATGTTTAGCGACCCCACTTTCTTAAATGAGGATTAAGTGAGCTAGGATTTTAGTCGACTGATAACTGCACCTTTTGCTGCTCATTTGCGCAAAAAATGCATTTACGTCAGGAGTAAAACCATTAACGCCAACAGGCAGGCAATAGCATGATTCAAGTTTCAATAGTGCTAGGAAACATTCAATTAGACTATTTACATATGAAGTGACATTCAATACCATCYTCAAACAAACAATTGCACTTTTGAACAATCAAATATAAAGAAARCACTTTTAATCAAACGGAATGGAAGTTCATTAGTACCAAAATACAATCAAATGCATCGGTTGACAATCAATAGGGCATTTAAGACATTCGATAGTAAAATTTCCATATATAAGCACAATCAATAGCGACTTTCTACAATCATTCGTTCGCAATGAACAATCAATCTTAACAAACGACAAACATTTGCGTAAGAACAACAATCAATTACAGGAAAACAAATTTCAAATTACTATATTATTTTCTTAATATTTATCACTATTCTTCTATATTTTAAGAGCGACTGTCCAGAAAAATCGAGCAAAATCGAAAGTATCCGGCCACAATGAAAAATTCAAATTCCTTGAAACTCAGATCCTGGACACCTTTCTGTGAGCCTACTAACGTGGTCGAATCGGTTTTTTGACCTAAAGTTGAAAAATTGGAGTTTTTGAGCAAAATTGGTTTTACCCCGATTTGGTCTAAAATTAGCATATGAGACCGTTGAAACTTGCAACTTTTTGAAAGTTATTTCTTCAATCAATTTAAATATTTTTGCGCAATTTTTTTACAGAATCCGAAAGAATACATCCTAAGGAGTTGCCCGGAATCGGTTTTGGCTTTTCAATGTATTTTTAACGGGGAGGAAAAATGACTTTTTCTTGGCCGGTTTTCAAAGCTTGATTTGAGTTGAAATTTCCGA